TTCTACGAGCTGAAGGTGAACGTAAAATAAAGAAGAAGGCAAGGAAACGTGCTTCTCTAGGGAATGATTTATTTATCTCTGTACAAGAAGGCCGTGAGCATATACAGCAGCTTGATACACAGCTTAATGAGCAGGTTGATGAGCTTACACCTATGCCTCGTCAACGCGCTTCACCACGCTGTAGTGGCTGTGGGACTGTTGGGCATACAATAAGAAGCTGCCCTAATAAATAGCTAGATATTTTGTCTGTTATATATTTTAATTCAATGGTGTTAGTGGTTGCAAAGCTTCAAATTCGTGGTGGTTGCGGAGGAAGTGGACGGGACGGCCGTGTGGACGGCTCGGCCGTGGATTACGTTAGTTGGCTTAGATAACCAATGAACCTCATCTTTGCGATAACCTCAGATAGCCGATATTATATCGAGGGAAGGATTATATCGGCTAAGCGGGGCCGCACTGTATTCGTCATAGGCCATGTTCCACCATTGTATGACAAATACACCTTTTCCTTGTTTTGTCTCTTTGAACCTTTTCCGCAACGACCTTCCCTTTTGCGCTTAGTTGATGGCCGCCAGAATGTGTATAAAAAGGCCGTACGATAGATAGATATTTAGAATCAGAGTTCTTCCTCTATTCACGACGAATAGTGCTTATGACATCCTTCCGGGCATAGTAGTTAACACTAACAAAGAGATGGGTCTATTTAACTAGACCAGGAGTCCTACGCCCGCCAGATTCTGGATGAGTTTGACATGGCTGGTTGTAACCCCACCTTTGGTGCTGTTGTATGCCTGATCCATCAGGCCTCAATGCTCACGCGGTTAGTTAGTTACATATTATTGGAAGGATGATCACTCCATAGCCGTGCACAAGCTAGCTGTTCTCAGCCAGCCATACTTAGTAGCATCCACTGTGGACCTGTCTGAGCCAATAAAGGAATATTGGACACTCCTTAAAGCAATATGGAAAGGATTATTATGAATTGATGTTCCTCAGCTGAGAGCTGGTTTCAGCTCAGTTCAGCTACAACAGTTCAGTAATGACGTAGCCTGCATCACAAAATATTGACTGAATTGGATGGTACTTGCCCCTCACCTGAACAGGGCAGTCTCAAGGTATAAATATAGTGGCCAAATACCTACTTGGTCTCTGATAGCAAGTGAGCATTTGACTGCTTTATTCTCTTTATCCAGGAACCTCCAGCCTCAACTCCAAAGACAAAATGAGTGCATTTGTTAGCTGAGCTCTCCCCGATCAGTCTGCTGGAACTGAATATTAATGCATGTTACAGCTCATAGTGGTCTATTATTTTTCAATTGAGGCATATGAAAAATTTGGTAAGGGTGAAGACTTTGAGAATATGTACTGTCCCAGACCATCCCACCCGCCATATTATCTATCTAATATATCTACTCATTAGGGTAAAACCAAAGCTCAGTGAGAAAGGCGCTACTGACTTTACGGAGCCTATCTCAATAACTGAAAAGATTCCTATACAGAATGCGCTCTAGTATGTGCACACTTGAATATTGTCTTCATATCAGAAACTGATAGAAAACAGTTTTACAGCGCCAGATGATGCCTTGGATGAGCTGAAGACATTTGAAGAAATGGGTTATGATGAACTCGGGTTCGGGGAATTTGCCGAATATGTCAAAGTATTGATTGAGAAGGATTAGAACTTGTGTAGCACGGAGGCCGCAGCACGGCCTCCACAGTGCAGAACTGCCATACAGTGCGGACTTATACATATTTATCCATGTACATATGAAACGGATAAACCAATGTAGCGGTTAAAACTCCGTATCGGGGAAGTCGGGGGAGTCGATTATCCGGACTGCACGAGGCTGTAGGCGACGAATTTAATTACACAAGGAGGATAACACCAGATAATGGAAAGGAGTTAGACCATCCTCGTCCACCACATCAACTGGAGATCCGAATTCGAGCAGGAGTTTTATAAGTGGTAAATGAGGTTTCAACAACGCGTAATGGAGCGCAGTCATTCCAGCAGCATCTTTCATTTTTGTATTTGCGCCTTTGGACAACAGGAATCGAATTATCTGCATGGCAAGGTCGTTGTTCTCTGGTGGTTGGTTTTCCCCACTGAGGAAAAGTCCACAGGCCTGCATAAGTGCAGAAGCGCCTTCCACGACAGGTTTAAATATGAAACCCGGGGTAATGATTTTGTTTTTATGTCCAGCACCCATGCGAAATGACAATTTATCTTTAAGCATCGGCTTGTTTACATCAGCTCCCCCCTCGATGAGAGCACTCATTGTATCCATAAAGCCGTTCATAACAGCCTCATGCAGCGCACTGCGCCCAAAGCCATCAACGTGGTTTGGATCAGCACCATTTTGAATCAAGCATTGCACATAACGGGGGTCATTACGGCATGCTGCCACATTCAACGCATGAAGGCCGTCGATATCGGCACAGCCCTTGGCAAGCACTTGGACAGACAGCAATTGTCGGTCACGGATTGCGGAGAGTAACAATACTGACCTCCATTCCAATGGGTCTGATCGCCAAATTTCGGAGTCGTCACGCCAAGGGTCACTCAGTTTGGGAATTCTGTCCTCACGTCCATTGAACCTCTCTGCCTTTGTAAGAGTTCTCCACACATTGCGTGAGACGGGAAAGTCAAATCTTTCCTGGCTCCAAAGCATGTTGAACTTCGCATCGCCGACTCTACTGTCAGGAGTCTCCAGGTACTGAACAAGGATGTCAAGTAAATCAGGATCCTGTGACTCCACCGCAAAGTCAACAGGAAGGATTGCTTCAGTGTACAACTTGACCTGTTCCATAGACATTGTATAAAGCGCATGATCAGGGGTTTGAGACCTTCAATGATGTTCTAAAAGCTCTTTGGCAATTTCTGGCTTTCCACCAGAGATAGCCCAATGCAATGCCGTCCATCCAAGGTTGCTTCGAACTTGGTGGTCTGCGCCTTTGGAAAGAAGAAGCCGGATCAGGTCAAGATTTCCGACGAAGGCTCCCCAAAACAATGGAGTCCATCCTTGAATATCCTTACTGTTTACATTTGCACCATTTAACAAGAGCAATTCTGCCACAGCAATGTGGTCATTCGAGCAAGCCCAGTGCAATGGTGTCCATTTGTGAGAATCTGATGGAGAGGGATCCACATCTTGTTTCAAGAGTATGTCCAGGGTGTAGACCAAGTTCCAATAAGCTGCGATATGAATATCCGTCTCATTTGTCGGAAAAGAAGTGAAGATCTCTTCTCTTGTGGGGTTGTCTGCATAGTCCACTCGAAACTGGAGAGCTTGGAATGCATTCTCTCTGAGTTTGATATTCCTCAAAAGCTTCAAAATCAATGGTTCAAGTAACCTTTCAGTCTCTCGACCTTGCAGGTGCTGGTCCCAATGTTTTGCAGCATAGTCTAAGAACTTTAATGTATCAAATCTCCCCATAAGGTCCGAGGAGCTAGTACATGGGCCAGACATCAGAGATTCCGAGGAAAGAAGATTCAAACATGTTCGCGCAATATCGAGATGACAGTCTGTGTCTGGAAAATTGCCGTAGAAGAATTCGTATGCTGAGGTGTGTACTAGACCGAGGGTATTGTCAACCTGGTTCACAACGACCAGGCCAACACAGACGCGGAGAAGAAGCGCTGCGCTAGGAATGTACTCATGGTCAAACCTTTCTTCGTCCACAGCAAATGCACACATTGCTTCTTCAATTTTCAATCGTCTCTTTGCGTATGTTATCCAAGATAATAAACGCCGAGCTAATGACCTTCTGGGCTTTGGTTGGGCGTCGATGCGTTGCACACTTGCATCAAATGCTCCCTGCAGCCCTTGCGGCTCTCTTTGGAGTGTTTTTCGTATCTGCCCGATCGTTGTAAGCTCCAAAACTTCATCAAGCACCAGCCGGGCAAGAAAAAATCTATCTATGGTCAGCATCTGAATGCCAAAAGGGGAAATGGCGGGGCTTTAAGTTACAAGTTTCCGGTCTTGGACACTATGCTGTCAACCACTTAGTCATTTTCAGATAGCTCCTCTTCAAAGTCACTCTCTTGCAGACGGGTCTTGACATATAGCTTCAAGTCACCATTTTCCCCTGTGATCTCCAGTTGCTTGGCAGTTTTCATCTTCTTCTGAATATGTGGAAGCTGCCTGCTGGTGACAAGGACTTGGATGCCGCATTGAACGAATGTCAAAGCATACTTCATAAGCTCGTTTGGGTCTTTCATTTCATCAACAGCATCAAGTATGAAATAAATTGGCTGTGCTAAAGCGGCCTTGGCAATGAGCTCAGCCACTTTACTTGCACTTTGAAGTGTGCTAGGATCCTGGCATGACTCTTTGAGGACGGCAAGCAACGGTAAGCTTCCTTTCTCGATTAATTGTCGAAGTAAGAAACGTAGAATATCCAGAGTGGTTTGCTAATCTTGGGCAGAAAAATCGCAAAAGAAGTAAATCACAACTGAGTTTTGCTTGTCTCTACTTGCGAGATGGTCAAGAATAACCGATCTAGATATGACATGAAACCGTTAGCATTCTGAAATTGAATCCGACCAGTGCTCAATTTCCATGCTTATGCAAGGAAGCTTTTCCCTACTCCAGCTGCGATCTTTGTTAGCCTTTGATTGTGAGAAAATTAAATGGGCTGTGTCCATACGCGGTCCATAGCACCACAAATGCTGTGAAGACCGGTAAATCCAATCCTTCACATTACTATCATTCAAGAACCAAACTCCAGTTCCTGGACAAGGCGATGGTTTCGGTCGCAGGGGGATTGCCACCGGTGGGGCCCATGCTAGTAAAATGTTTCGGTCTTGTTCTGAGAGCACTCAGCAGCACGATCAGAAAATGCCAACTTCCGGGTGTGTTTTACCTTGACCGAGTACCGAGACCTTGTTATAGGTTGCGTTCGCTGTTACACTGCCCGTCTAATTGGTAAATTCCTTCGGGGAGGGGGGCATTTGGTACGTACAGCACACAAGAAGAGGGATAGGTTGAAAAGATATCTCGAAATTTCTGCGTCATATCAATATGGGGCCGCAGTTCTCGGTCCTAAAATGGTCTAATTAGCCTTGACTTCCGCTTTTGAAGCTCGAAGTGCAGTCTTGAGAGCTCCGTGTAGCAGTCCATCAGCGCCTCGTCGTCTAGGGAAGCTGGACGTGGCGGAAGAAGTCCTGTCGACTCCGTTTCAGTAATGACTTGCTCGACTCGGAAAAGAACATCCATGAGTCCAGATATTTCTTGTAAATATTGCTTCTGGACTTTTGGTGCATTTTTGACCTCGCGGACGTAGGTGTAGCTCAGTTTTGTGATCTCAGCCGCCAGCTGGACAACCGCGGCAATGTTTGCGGCCAGCCAGCCCAAGTGCCTCAGCCATAATGAAAACAAGCAGAGTTGAGAAGGTTTATTTCAAAAAGGTACCAAGGAGAGTGTATCATGAACCTTTCCCGACAGCGGCGTTGTTTGACAGGACTTCATGAAGGGGCGGCCCAAGGCCAGCACTGCCATGAACAACGCATGCCCCCACGATATAGTCTCGCTAGCGCATATCCGCCCAGATGCAAACCAGACCATAGAAACAAGAGGACACTAGTAGACACTATGATGCTTCAGTAAATGATATGCAATAGCATAAGTTCGCTCGCTTACTCCGTATTGTGCCTGAAAACCAAGCCGTGTTCCGCAATTAGACACCTCGTGATACTCCGCAAACAGGCCCTTAGGAGTTGTCTACACTAGCCTTTCCATAAATGCGTTCTAACTCACAGGAAGTAAAATCAGTTTGTGGCTATGTGCAGGTATCAAGTAACTTGGTATCATGCACCAAGGTATGTCTGCGTTGATGTCGAGTCTTCCACAGCCTTTTCCACCCCGCATACAGAACAACTGTCAGATATGCTCCAATAAAATGTCCTGCCATTTCTTGAAATTTCTACTACGAGGGCCTTCATTTCCTGTTTTGATTATTATGTATATCACGTCATCATGGCTATTACATGTGCTTGTGTTATGAAGACTACACAGTCGGGATAATCTGTGCATTGGGATTCGAGATGAGCGTTATCCGTTATGCACTGGACTGCGAGCATGCAAAACTACCAATCAAATCAAATGACTCGAACATATACATACTCAGAGAATTGAGCCACCACAATGTAGCAGTCGCCTGTCTTCCCGGAAGTCAAGGCAAGAGCTCAGCCGCAATTGCTGCGACCAACATGGCGCGTATATTCCCCTTGGCCAGGTATCGTTTTCTTGTAGGCATTGGGGGATGCGCTCCGAGTGAGAGTTATTATATCCGGTTTCACTTGCAAAGTGTTCACTGGATCACCTCCGGCTGTTCTGCGGTCTGCGGTTTACAAGATACAGTCCGATCATCTATCCCAGTGTACTAAGGCATCAGATCATCTACGGAGATTGAGATTAAAACTTCAGCCTAGCTTGGGATACTGGAGACTGTTAACCTGGTCAGCAGCCATGTGAGAAATGTGACCGGGTGAGGCTTTTGCGACGCTCCCCACACCCTAATGATGACCGTCAAATATCCTACGGATTGATCGCACCAGGCGATAGGGTGATAAAATGTGCATTAAAGCTTATATGCTTTAGCTTGATCTCTAGCGAGTATCGATCATGACTCACAAGCATTGATGTGTAGATTGCAGTGACGCGGCACTGCGTGACGCTGGGTGATGGCTCACCCTCTGTATGGTGCACTCACCCAGGCTCACCCCCAGTCGCACGACCAAAAAGCGGCATCACCTTCTAATCCACCCGGGAGGCACCCACCGAACTATTGACCGAAGTTAAGCCACACGCCGGCTGGTTAGTAGTTGGGTGAGTGACCACCAGCGAATCCCGGCTGTTGTATGTTTTTTTTGCTCTCGTTGAGCAATAACTATTTTTGCCCTTTTTTCTTGGGGTGATGGCTGGGTGAGTTCTGGTTCGGTGCACATAATTGAGGTGACAGTTGTGATGTGCAGAATGGTTTCTGAATCTATTTGTATCGCGATCTGGGCTAGTTGGCTGCGGTAATCTCGGCGGAACTTGAGTCGGCTGAGCGACGATTTTAAAGATCCTAATTTGCTCTGGGTTCGGTTTGTTTTCTCGTTCAGGAGCCCCATACAAGGCAACGAGTGGCACCTTGGACCAAAATCTCACATTAATACCAAATCAGGCTGAAAATAGAGATAAAGCACTCTTGCGACGATCGCTCAAAGTAGTACTTACTACCTCCTCATTAATACCGACTTTCCGAATCCGCTATGGTACATCAACTTATCGAAGATGGCCGAAGATGATTTGGATATTGAGACGAAGGGGATCCTGCTCCAGTCGGGGCCAATCCCAACCCCGGCGCTCAAGAATCTCATCTTACTGCAATAAAGGGCTCTCGTGAGATAAACTGTCTTTACTATTCACCAATAGTGGTGGACCGGATGGCTTGGAACCATGGAATCACTATCAAATAAGGTTATTTAAACAGCAATACAACATCTAGGAATGTATGGATCCGGACTGTCATGATGCAATCATTAATTCATGGATTTAACAGCAATTCTTTTCGATCTCTCATTCAAACAAAAATAGGAAAAACTGTCAAAAGTTTGCTAATTGCAGGATGAGCTCTTGCTGTCTATGAAGCACCATGACTCATAATAGTAGTCAAGCACTACGATTCGCGGCTGATGGTACATTCAAAATCTCAATATTTTCGGATCTACATTATGGTGAATGTGAGCATACACAGACCACGACATACACGATCATAAGGCCTTCTAACAATGGACTCTATAGCTCAAGCTTCGATCGGCCCAGAGAATGATGCTCGGACAGGCAATGTCATGAACACAATTCTCTCTATCGAGAAACCACAGCTTGCTGTTTTGAATGGAGATTTAGTAACCGGTGACGCGACCAGCCGGTCTAATTCCAGCGCATATGTCGATCGTGCTTTGGCCCCGCTTGTCAAGAATAATGTCTCATGGGCTTCCACATATGGGAACCACGATAGTGCTACAAACTTATGCCCAGATGATGTCTTTAGGAGGGAAAGAGTCCATCAGAAATGTTTTACGCAGAGGATGGTCTCTGATCCTGCAGCGGGGTTCACAAACTACTTCCTCCCTGTCTTCCCTCGCAACTCGTCAGCAGCAGAAGTGCCGGAGGTAATTTTGTGGTTTTTCGATACTAGGGGTGGAAGCGTGTGTTCCGAAAGTGAGGATGAATCTGGCCGTATGCCAGATTGGGTTCATCAGTCAGTAAGTCCTCTGTGCTACCTATGCAATTTGTGTAATCGGCTGCTTCCGGGTTTTGACCATGGCTTACTGATCTTGAAGGTGACCGAGTGGTTTATCAAAACTCACTCGCAGTTGATGGCGGAATACGGGAGGGCGGTACCATCACTTGCCTTTTTCCACATTCCCACATATGCGCTACGAGCTTTCCAGGAAACTGGTATAGACAATTACACTGAGCCAGGGGTCAATGACGAGATACCGGTTAAACAGCAAGGGTATTTTTGGGATGATGATGATTATATGGGGCAAGATGTTCCCTTCATGGATGCCTTACTGCGTACGGAAGGAATACTTGCTTCATTCAGCGGTCATGACCACGGGAATGATTGGTAAAAAAGAAACTCTCCTATTTAGCCTGTTTTGCTATAACCGTTAACCATTTTCATTTTAGGTGTTTCAATTGGAATGAGAGACTGCCTAATATGGATCTAAAAGGGAACGGACTCAAGATGTGTTACGGCCGACGAACAGGGTATGGAGGGTATGGAGATTGGGCTCGCGGTGGGCGCCAGTTAATATTACGGGAAAATGTCAGTGAAACACCCATCGAGACTTGGATACGATTAGAGGATGAAACAGCTCGTGCACGGGTGACTCTCAACTCGACCTATGGGCAAGATCAATATGTACAGGAGCGATATGCGCAGGAAAGCCAAGGAAGGAAGAGCTCTTCATCAATGAAATGCTTGATATATGTCTATCTATCTATTTACTTGCTAATTAGCTTGACACAGACATAAATAGTATTATTGACTAAGGGAGCAGAATACATTTACAATTGATGTTTTCTGTGTTGATTGTACACTATCGAGCATCGCAAGCTCTGTAGAGCTGCTTTTGGGATAATTGAGATTGTTCTGTAAAACAAGTACTGTGATAATCGCGTTTCCATACTATCAACCTAGTTTACCAATCACTGGTAATAGCCGACTTGAATCAGAAGATCCCCATAATCATTGAAGACCGGGTCCTTGTAGCGGAATGTTCCTAGACCAGGAACCACAAATCGGGCTGCATTGTTAAGATTGTTATGCAGTTTTTTTTCACAATATCCTGCAAGGGCGAGTTTTCCAATGTGTCTTTGAATTGATCCTGAAGTACTCACTGTTGCGCCTCGACCTCTCCTCTTTTGACATAAATTTGATCCCCTACAAAATAAAGTCGATTCTGAACGTGCCATTATTCAAATCAAGTACAATCTGGATACCTCCAGTTTCAACCGCTTTGATAGTGATTGTTGTCTCCCATTCAAGCCACACATGAACCCTATAAGAACGGTCAGCACATAGATCAACTATTGGGGGTCAGTAATACTTAGAACTCACTGTCAACTTTAAGTCTACCATACATGTATCCCGCCTTGTTTCCATGACGGTAATACTGCTCTGATGTCTTCTGTGGAAGTCCCCAAGTCCATGCCATGGTTCCCGTGGGTTCCCAGCGAAAGAAATCGGGATTGGCTGAATGGATCGAGTCTCCGATGCCAATCTCCCAACAAGGCCTCTTGAGGTCGTCCACATTAGCATTCTTAATCCATACGTAGGTGGCATGATTGAAGGTGTGGAGAAGTTCGGGCACTGTCGTCCGTAGAAGATAGTTATCCCAAAAGATGCCTCGTTCGATGCATATCGTACCATCCATTCCTTTGGAGACAAAGTTCCCCGAGTAGGGCAGAATGGCCCCCGGGGGGAAAGGTTTATTATCAGTCATTTGCAGATACAAAAACATGCTATTGTCGCCTTCCAGAGTGCGCTCATCGGGCTCGGTTTTTCCCGGGGCAATGTACTCGTAGGTTTGAAATTTTAACGAGGTGGCAGGTCGCTAATGGACCCAGGATCTGTGGTATGCAGCCCATATCCAATAGTGCCGTATCGTCGATCTGTCATGGGCCCTTCGTCAATGTACCACTTGGCCAGGAGACTACCCAGTCTTTCACATCAAAATCCTGGCTACTAAGAACATCAGTACGCACTCATGAGGAAGAGGTATCTAACTGACAGCTGGTCATAGTCGTAATGAATAGTTCCCGAGCCAAAGCGAGCAAAATACTCTAAATCGATACGACTTCCACCCGTGACTTTCAATGAGATCAGGGGCAGATCGATTAGGGCTTCGGTTGTATCGTGGTGTTTGTCTTTACAAACAACATGGGCGACTTCAGGATGATAGGTCACTAATTTGATTATGGCAGCATTGATGGCGCGTTGGGAGAGTGCCGTAATCTATTCAGATATTATGGTTAGATTATTCTCCAAGGTGAGATGATATTCCAGGACTCACTTCTGAAAACCCTCCCAACTGGGCTTTTAGACGCTGGCTCGACTCGTCACTCATATTGCTGTGTTGCTAGTGTTTTCTATGAATTGTGGGTGAAAATTTGTAGACTTGTGCTCGGTTGAAGAATATGTCATTCTGAAACTTCTAGTAGAACCCATGGGCATCAGGATTTTGTCACCATATGTGTTCCCCGTATTCTCTTTTTGTTACACTGTATTGCAGAATTGCATTGCATGAACAACATACAGTGCGGAACAGGAGCATCATTGCCACCCCACTTCGGACAGCTAAGGCTTTTCTGTCAGCCAGTTCTGAATAAAGAAAACACATCAACTGCCATTGAACCAGCCGTTTCTTGGACTGAAAATGAGCGATATCCCTTCCCAGCCCAGCACCCCGGCCGAGTGGCGGGAGTTTTCACAAAGTGAGATAGTAAAAACCATTACATTGAGGCAAGAACGAAGATTAAAGCAGGTGAGGAAGGATCAATCTTTCTCCAGACGGGCCAGGCAATTGCTGAGATACCATAGAACACTGTTATCGAGCTGGATGTCTATCTCGATGAATCGAAGATTGTGAACCCATCAGTCCAACTACAGTACTTGTATGCCGATGTCTTTGCTTTCATACAGTCAGAGATTACGATAGTACCTGTGGCGTACACCGATATTCAGGTTATTGCAAGGGTTCTCACAGCCGACCAGTCCGTTCACCTGAGCTTATCGCCTGATGTTTCCGGATTCCGGCTTTGGATTTTTGCCTCCATCCTGGACCAGCTAGTTTCTGTGTCCGTGGCCGGTGAAAAGCCAATTGTTCTAGAACTAGGTCCAGGAACGGAGAATATGGGGGTGAGACTGAGCGTCTTTCCGGGCGAAATTAACCTGGAGTACAAGAGTGTTACATCACCATTAGTATATGATGTTTCGGGAGATAGGTGGATCTAATAACATACGGCTTCAAAAAATTCCGATGCAGGACGAAAAAACCAGGAAAGCTTTGGAACACCTTTTGTGTGCTGTAGAGAGGTGCACCGGCGAAGAAAAAAGGGGGACAGGAATCAAAATTTCTGCTTCTCCCAGACCATCTGGGCCATCGTTCTGATATCAGTGTCACTGAACTCTATTTCTTCTTTTTCGCCGCGACCTGCGTCTCGAAGGAAGAGGTCCCTAAACGACAAAACAAGCGGGCCGCTGATCACGACAGCTTCCGTCTGTCCCTTCTGGTTCGAAACTACCAGGTGTTTTCGAAGAATTGGTTCAAATTGGGCCCTGGTGCTATTTTGTAAAGTGCAAATCGGCTCCCACTTTTCTATAACAATTTCTGGTGTCTTTCGGTGCACAGAGATCGTGAGTGCCGTTCTGACGTCGCCTTGTGATGCCTTGATCCACCAGTCCGCGTCTGACTCAAGTTTCGGCTTCGATTCTGAAAATCCAGCGTCCATGACCAAGGTTGGCCACAGTTCGGATCTATCAGGAGGACGGTTTCGGGGTGCAAATTCCTGGTCCGCTCTTTTTGTCCGTGAGGGTGTTTCGATGTCCGCGGATCCGGTCCAATCCAAAGACAAGTTCGTTTCGTTCATAGCGGCTAACTTCCCAATCAACAGATTGGCAAGAGCCGTATGTGTCCGCTCATGGTCCTTAGACGTAACCATTCTGATAACAAGGAGCTGGGTGTATGGGTAGTAAAAATCGAAGAGGCGCCAACTTGGTTTATGTTTGGATATGTCAAAGTCTCGAGTGAATGCTTGATCGGTGACATTAGTAAATAAGACATATTGGCTGCATTTTCCGGTTTTGTTATTGTGAAAATTCTCTTGTTCAAGGGCAATATGAGACCAGAAATCCTGCAATCCCTCATACGGATAACGACTTGTGTTTGAAGGTAAAAATTGGAGAATATCTTCTTCCGGGTTCTTGTTTGTAGACATTTTTGCTGTATTAATTGCTGACCTCGGGGAAAAGTATGAAGTGCATTAGGAAAAGTGAATACCATCTACCAACCTAACGTCACCATAATCAGGTGACTAGCACTGGGGTTGGAGTTATGTACACAAATAAGGAACGAATAAAAATGCATAAGTCTGTTTTACAACAGAGTATCTTATTACTTGCATTAGTGTCTTAAATGATTAAAGAAATTAAATGACATGACAGCCATTTCCTATGTGAAAATAAACATAGACCAATCCCAGCTCATGGGACTGGACAACCACTCTCGACCGTATCATTTTGCATAGGACAAAACAAAACGCATTCAACCCCTGACAATAACCTGCTTCTCCTTCTTGATCTGCTTGACAACTTCGATGTCCACCTTCAGGACATTGGCCACGGTGTCAGCGGGGGTAAGGGCGAGCCACTGTGCCAACGAAATATCGGCCACGCGGTCACTCTTGTAGAGCTCGAGATAAACCACCTTCTCCGTGTCAGATGTGTTTTCGATATAGTGACCGCTGTTATCGGGGAAGACTCCAGTGTCACCAGCGGTGAAGTCGAAGGTGCGGGCTTTAGAGTCGCCAATGAAAACAGTTGCGCGGGCATTTCCTTGGTGGAAGTACAACCATTCCTCAGCCTGTAGGTAAATTTATTAGTCATTCGTTTCACTAAGAAGGTTGATAGAGCAAGCTCACATTAGGATGCCAGTGAAGCTCGCGAAGACCCTTAGGCTCAAGCTCCACGAGGGCAGCAGCAATCGTAGTCGAGATAGGGAAGTTGGTAGAGTCAATCTTCCGGAGAGTACCACCTTGTCCAGGGACAGGCTCTGAGGGATGATCGTATGTGTGGTAAACATATGAGCTGTTGCCCTTCAAAGTGCCCACCGGTTCCTCTTTGAGATCATCGCTGACAGTACCGTTGAGGATATAAGGGAACTTTGATGGAGTCTTGTCAAAGACGGAGGGGTCGACGCCGAAATTCTTTGCGAGGATGTCTCGGGGGGTGTGGGCAATCCAGTCGTCGACCATGAACGTAGTTCTTTGCAGTTAGTTAGTAGATGTTGGGATCGGTTGGGGTATATGAACATACCCGATTTTCTCAAAGTCGCCATCATCGAAGGCGAGAAGGTATTCGTTCTCATCTTCCAGACCTTGGACGTTATGAGCAACACCCTTGGGGAAGTACCAGATATCCCCCGTATTGAGCTTTTCGGTAGTGAAAGCACCATTCTCGTCAACTCCAGTCAGGAGAAGGGATCCGTTGTAAACAAAACCCCATTCAGCCTATTCCCATGTTATTATCCCCCGTATTCAATTGGCAATTCAGACAACTTACCACTCTATGCCAATGCAGCTCCCGAATAGCACCCTTCTTCAGATGCTGCTGAGCTCCAGAGATGTCATGGCTTTGAGGAAGGTCCTGAATGACCTGCTCTCTAGACCAGCCACCTGGAAAAAGTCTTGTCTGGGAATCGGAAAAACTCCATTTGACGTTGGGAACGAAGCCATTGTCGGTGCTCGGGGTACGGAGGTGGTCAGGGTTCTGAAGATCCAGGGCTCTATTGGTTCCGCCTAATAAGGGCGCAATTAGCAAATATTAATTCCAACATGATGAGAATACTCTACCTAGAATAGGAGCTCCTTTGCCCTGTCCGTTGATTGGCTGGTCATTCTTGGAGGCAGCAGGAGATGCAAGGACAGACGAGAGAAAGAGTCCGACCAGCGCAAAGCTTTGCGACCTCATGGTGAGAATTTGACGAAGAAGACTTGTATTCTTGAACAGAGCAGGGGTGGCTTATTTCCCTAAAGAACTTCCAACCCTCTATCTATATACTCCGGAGTATGTCTTTAATTTCCATACCTGTCTGCTGGAAAAGGATCGACCGACATTGAACAAAAAGGGTTTATCACAACATCTCCGCCTCGTGTTGCGACTTTTCTCCTTGATAATTCACCACGAGGTCGCTTCGAGGTCGCCGATTGAAAATCAGATTCAAGCGAAATGGATATGAGTATAACAACATCCTTGGCATAGTGTTGAAATCTACCCAATCGGGTAACTCCATTGTCGATGCAGGTGCTTGTTGGAGAGGAAATGTTGACATCGGGCGGAAAACTCGCATCATCCGCTCTCAATTGACATGTTTGTTCTTGGCACGACCCTGATCTACATTGGTAAATCCCGAACACGATACTTGGCATGAGTCCGAGTGCACGGGGAACTGAATTAAGCTTTGATTAGGGCCTCGAGTGCGAGCCCTGGGTATAGGGTAATTTGTGCCTGGCGGTCTTGGCAAATTTAGAGTAAATTCCTTGGGAATATTGTGACCAACTATTACTGCCATGTCGGATAGCCGTAAATCATTGATGATATCAGACAGCTACCATTGCCTGGGCCAATGAGATGAATCTATTCCGACAGCACCGGGGACCAGGTACCGCGGACCGAGCGGATGAAGAGCAAACCCCGTGTGCAGTTGTTACCCGGGATGCATTAGCACCATCGTTTGGGTTCGTCCTAGGGCTCTGAAGGACCTCGAATCCCGGCGAGATTCTTTATCATCAATCACGCAAATAATCGGATTCGACCGGTCAAGGCATTTGTTGATTTTAGTCGGACTTGGCTCTGTACCTAGCGTAGAAATTTGGACTATCCTCATTCTTCTGTATTCCTGATACGGAAAGAGCTTTCTCTCTCCCTCTCTCTCCCTACCTCTCTCATGTTCCTGTCATTGGTGTCGCAATCCATCCGGCCAAAGTCGTCTTGTGATATTGAAGTTTCTCTTGCAGTATGGATGATATGTGACTTTCTTGCGTGCTTGACGGGGATGGTCCCCGAGTGCTAGAGAGAAAGGGGGAAAAGAAGACCTTCTCGGGAAACAGCCAGCTGGAGAATCGAACGACTATATAAGCCGAGGAAAACCCGCTCAAATCTGCTCAGCATCAAGCCTGTCGTCATCAAGCAAAGACCAAGATGAAGTCCGCTCTCGTGCCTCTCGCGTCTCTGGCTATCCTGGGGGAATGTCTCTCCCTTCCCCCTCTTATTCCCAGAATTCCGGGTGTCACTGAGGTCCTGACCAAGAATGCACCTCCTTTGCCAATCTTGCAAGTTCCGACTCCTCCGCTTGAGAGTCCTCCGTTTACGCCGAGTGACATCAAGCCCAAGAAGATCGGTTACTTCTGGACTGGTTCGGGTGATAAGGAGCATAAGGGTGTGTTTACTTTACTCAGATCCCATATCTCTTACGCGCAAAGCTGACAGTATTGCATAGACTTCCTTGCGACATACAGTCTTGACGATGTAAGTATTCAGCCATATTCATATTGAAGTCGAACAACAATCTAACAGATAATAGGACACCTTCGGCACGCTCCTCTGGGTGACTGATGTCCCATCCAGTGGCAACGATCCCCACCATCTTGGTTCTTCTCTTGATGGCAAGACACTGGTTGGCGGTGGACTGCTGTCCCTGCTTAAGACCCAGGTAAATATACACTTCTATACTTCTTTCAAAGCACTCTCTCTTATTGCAACTAGGATACTGCCTTCTACTTCGACACGTCCAACCCCTACCGCCCCAAGTTCAAGAAGAGCAACCGTGCCCTTCTCGCTTCCATCGCAGACGAGATCCGTGCGAAGCCTGACGGAGGGTTCTACATAACCTACATGGGCTCTGCACTGGGTACCGCCCCCGGCCGTCTGATCGAGACCGATGAGAACTTTGACATTATCCATGAGTGGCCCGAGGACGTGGAGAGCACCCTTAACATTCTTGGCGACCAACACTCTCCTCACGGACTGAGCATTGACTGGGACAAGAAGCTCATTCTTACCTCGGACTTTGTGGAGCCGATCAGTATCTTGAAGCCCAGTCCTGGGGTTCGGCATGCTGACACGCTTCGTCTGTGGGATCTTGACACAAAGAAGATTCTTAACACTATTACCATTCCTGATGTAAGTTTATTCACTAATTCACTCGTCTTGTTTCTGAATCCATGCTAATATAAAATTTAGGGAGGCGGTATCCAAGATGTCAAATTCATTCCTGGAAACCCTGACTCCGCTGCTCTCGCTACTGCTGTCCACCTTGGACAGGTGTGGATCATCTATCCCCTCCGCAAGGACGCCAATGGAAACCAGGGTACAGCAGAGCTGCTCTACGACCTTGGTCCCAAGGCTCGCGACACCGTCGCTATTTAGTAAGCCCCCTTTGTACCATCTCACAGAACCTCGACTTACCAAATCCTACAGCACCGACATCACCCAAGACGGCCGCTTCATCTATCTCACTCTGACCACCGGAAACCACATCGCCGCTCTCGACATCAGTGACCTAAGCAACGTCAAGCGTCTCGATGACCCCGATGAGGACCAGCCCACAGTTGGCCCGCACTACATCAAAGTCACGCCGGACCAGAAGCACCTCGTCGTCACGGACTACTTTGTGCAGACCGGAGATATTGGCATAATCAATACGCCTGCTGATTTCAATGCGCTGTACATTGATATCAACGATGATGGAAGCTTGAGCTTCAACCGGACTATTGACTTCAGCAAGGAGTTCCCGGATCGTGGTGGTGCTAAGCCTCACTCTACTGTTATTTTTGATTTTACTGATCCAGAGAACCCTCTCTATTACTAGAGACTGGTTGTTGTATGTGCTGATTGGGGATGTGAGGGAATGTGGACGTTTAACTTAATTCGACGTTGGCGTGTGTCTTTTTAAGGCCTTCGTCCAACTGCTATGTGACATGTCTTGTTATAACTAAGGTCTGCCTCGGCATAGTAGCATAATAAATAAATTACTCTTCAAACATCAGGATAGGACCGCAGTAAAAAGAAGGGCTTGTTACTATCGGAATACTCAATTGAACTTTGTAGATACATACCCCGAGGACCGAGAGATCGTACATTCCCCTCACACCCCAAAACATAGAGAAAAAAAGCCGCTCAATTTACTCCGAAGAAAAAGAAAAGGCTCACTTCGCTCGCGGCAAAAACAAAAACATACAACAGCCGGGATTCGCTGGTGGTCACCCACCCAACTACTAACCGGCCGGCGTGTGGCTTAAGTACGGCTGAGCGGACGGGAAGCCCTGTTCTCCACACCCTATGGTCGTATGTGATTACTATGTAAGAAGAATGTAATATAATATATGATATAATAGATAAAAGTAATTGTGAACAGCTTACTGCTGAAAAGAGGTATCATATCAGATCGTTTAACCTTCAGACCATATAGGAGATCTCTGCTAAGGTTACACTTAGCTTTTCGGATAGTCCAGAACAGCATAGTTAATGCTGTAGATAATTTGGATGTTTAAATGCACGGCGTATCGTGCTGACCATGTCTTTAGAGGTATGTGTGTACTTTAAATTAAATCAATTATATTCGTCCTAGATACCACAGAAGCCGTGTTCGGTAAATTCATCTAAAAGGAACTGGAGCAATTAATTCTTCTCCTCTTGTACACGGATGGCACGCATTGTATTAATTTTCATCTCCCTCATATAATATCGATACTCTGTAAAAAAAAAAAAAAAAAAAAAAAAAAAAAAAAAAAAAAAAAAAAGGTTTATTTTAACAGCAGCCACACTAACGAGATATATCAGCTGGTAAAAGACGAATTTCAGGATTGTAAAGTATTTTAACGGCGTCCTACTTTTGGGCGAAGCAGACATCTTCATGGAGTGTCGTTCCTCTCACTACGGCACGCACAATTACCTCGTCTGAACCGGGCGCTCGATTTCGACGAGGCAATCCTGAGCCGAATTCACCTAAAAGTCAAGTATGAAAATCTGACAAAGGACTACTGCCGGGAGATCTGGGAGCATTTTCTTTCTGTGGTCCGTACGCCTCAGGGGCCATCATCCCTTGCCAAAGATTTTGATCTCCAGTGCCTAAAGTCCATGGCCCTTAACGGCCAAGAGTTTTGTCATTTAATGTCGTCCAGGCATACTAGTTCTGACCAAACCATAGAACAGATCGCCCATGCACTAGCCACAATTGAGGAAATGCAAATGAACTACACACATTTGGAACTGGCTGCCAAATCAAACGAAATTCGCTCATGAAATGCACTAAGCCGGGTTATCTCGAGAGCGTGTACACGGAGTTGAAATCCGCTTCATATTGCTTATTGTCCGCTTGACTTTCACATGTTGTAGTCATCACTATTTCTTCATGCAATCTTTTCATCTTTTGATCCTGGTCCCTTCTTTGAAGCATTGTCAATGCCAGTAAAATCTTCCAGAGGATAAGAGAGGCCACAGTAATTAAATCAACATATGGGTGAGCTTAGTTTTGTGGTTCATTCTTGATTGTGTTCATTTCTGAACCTGCTCATTGTTGACTCCATTCATTCCTGATCCTGTATAAAGGGTTTCGGCGTGGATCTCAGTCAGATAATAAGACTGCCAGTAACTTAGTTCCATAACAGACCCCATCATGAGTCATTTGCCCAACTGGTAAATCTTTTGGTACTTCTCTAGAATACACCCTGGCCAGAAATACATGTCAGAGTACTACATAATTTATGATTTATTTGCAGTCCTAAAACGGTCCGTTATTTTACAAGACACATGATTTAACACTGGCTCGGAATAGCCACGCGATTTGGAATGAGCACAAGGTTTTGCTCAATGATCATTCTTACCAACTTACGACTAGACGAAGCCCAAGTACAAATATACAAGTGGGGTATGATGGTCTCGTGTAGTAGGAATCTATTGGTAGACTATCTGACGGAATACTAATATAAAGAAAGGAAGCAGGCAGGGCCTGCCTGTGCTGGGCTATCTAGTGTGTGTTGAGGGGTTCGAGCCCAAAGCCAAACAAGCCAAAGCAATCAAACATGCTATACAACTAGCGAGCGTCCACTCTCCGTGGCACGGAGAATAAATATGCCTCCCAGGAAGGTCTATAAAATAAACATACTGCAAACTACCTGAACAAACTAATTTTGGGCTATTCTGTTGGGTGTAAGCTGATAGGAGAAGATCAAATGGAATCAAATGTGCTAACTGTTGAAGCTTTTATTCTGATGCTAGCTCGTTATGTTTGCGAGTTACAGGTGCGATTTGGTCTTTGGCCCCAAAGTAAGCTGCTGCAGATGGTCTGAAAGCGTGGAGGAATTTTTGATTGGGAATTGGAAGTCTTGGGCTGTACCTTATCGTTAACGCAATCTCCAAAGAAAGACTTTGAATACTTACGCTTCGCCATTCTCAGTTTTGACATCTCACGAGGACCGGCTTCCCCTTCCTCGAGTCCGTTGCATTGTTTGCCTTCCTCAACGGTGCGCCACTTCCAAAGAGAGGTGAATCGATCAGGGACTCTCTCTAACTGGTTTTTAACATACTGCAAGTAGATTGAGGTCAGCCTATTCTTTGTCTGCTGGGGATGATATAGGACCAACTTTTCCAAGGACTGGAAGAAATTTAAAGCCATGACCACTATAGCGCTGAGATTAGGAACGGCTCATACAGCGCATATCCAGTACTTACGAGCCACCAGAACAGATGAAAAGTGAGTCAGAGTACCCGGGTACATAGTCAACCACGAACTACCATGAGTTAGCATTGGATGATGTGTACTGGTATGCTGCCATGCGGTACTTACTTCGTTATCGATGCTGTCCGTGTACCAACACAACTTGAGTGTATGTCAGTAAGGCATTCTGCACCTAAGCATTGGGAGAACAAACCCGGCTGTCGGTGAAACCGATCTTAGTTAACTCGGGAAGCAATCCACCGATAACTTGCTTCATGAGTTCGAGGCCGTACAGAGGTACAGTATTGATCGGCTCTGGGCTATATTTTGTTTGAGGGGTTGAGATGCGCCTAAAAATACTCAGAATGATGGTTAGCAGGCGTTCTGTACAAAGCTCGACTTGGTACCTGGTCAAGCAACGTACAAATTGTCTTGCGTGGGATGATCTTGGAAATTGGTAAACTTTTGCAGACAAAGTTAGCAAAATTTCAAAAAAGAATGAACTTCAGGGATACCTTTCGAGCGCGGAATCCAAATTTCAGTCTACCTTCCTTAGTAATAGGAAAGCCACCACCTTCGTATGACCTAATATGCCGGTTAACTGGAGGCCAACTTCGATAAGAAACAATTCTTACCCGTCCCCGTCGCCCTGTATAAACCGCCAGACGGGAAAGTTATCCGGGTGAAACCTTTCTCTGAGATCTTTCCTATCACTTGGGATGTCGATAAACATAATTGTTCCCATTGTGGCTTCGACGGAACGATGGGATTCTGGAACAACGGATGATGACCAAGCACCACCTGAGTTTCACTATTAGAATGATGTTCCTCGGCCATGAGGGCTGCACTCACAGGCGACAATTACAATATCAGCCGAGTGACTCAAACCATCGCATGTTCGGATGCCTGTCACCCGCTTGCCAGAACCGTATCCCTCGATTATCAAATGCTGAAGTTCACCCTGAGGCCGTCCCAAAATGAATTTGACTCCGGCTTGTTCGCACAGATGCCGGGCATATACACAGGCCTAACTCAGACGAGTCAGCGTATGTCAACAAGATAATTCTCTTAACTTCACCTTGTCCGCTAGAGTGATTCCGGAGCCCGCGTCGAGAAATCCGTTAGTGGCACCATCTCTGAATTTGTCAAAAAGATGGTATTTTCTGGCCCACTCTGGGCCCAATGTCTTGACACGTTCCTCATCACTACCATTATCCTATAACCAATGTTAAAACAAACATGGATAGTTTTCGGGCGATCTTGCCTACGCGTACCTTGATGAACTGCAGATTGCGAAAGCTAGGTGCTGACTCCTCCATTGCGCGCAAGTTTTCCACATAGCGACCTACCAAGTCTGGACCATCGGCCAGGTGGTAGACACCACAGAGAGTGAGTAACTCATCTTCAGGAGTCAGCGGGCGTGGGAGGTCTGACGGAAGGCTCTCTTTAATGGACCGATTCCACTCAAGCCAGATGTCTCTGGCTTCCAGAGCAAGGTCTTGTGAACTAAAAGCGCGGTTAACGCGTATCCTAGGACGCATTTCTTGAATAATGTACATACTGTTCCTGTGACCCGTATGTTGCTCGAAAGATCTTGTTGATGTCGGCGGACGCACCGTCACATCCGTCTGCGGGATTGTAGTAGTTCTTGTCGAAGCTGCAACGGTCGAATATAGTGACATTTCTGTAGCCATCCCGGGCGAGCCAGAGAGCGGTGCTCAACCCAAACACACCACCACCGACGATGATCACACGAGATTCAGAGGTGCTCATTTTGCTGTTTTGAGGGGGCGAGACTGAGATACAAGCGGAGATGACGTAAAGATCGGAAACCCGTGGCTCGAACGGCTATGAGAGATAGAAGTGAACTTACAACAGTCCCTTCGACTGGCGTCTTTTAAATTTCACGAGACGCAACGGAATTGCCGAAATCAAATGCTGTATTTAGACTAAGAGGGGCGCGGCACTTCCGTGGCAACTTCCAGAGCGCTTCGTACAGGGCAAACAATCTAAAGATATCGACTGCTACTTGTTTCGCGTACGTGTATGATATGTAGAATGCTCAAGATTACAAATTTATCATTATACCTGGATGTTCTGGGCCTTTTGGAATGCCCCTCGATAGGTAAACTGGACAGCAGAAGACGGCGGCATTTCCGTTACTCTCCTGATAAGACCGACCCGAATCCATTCATCTACTCTGTATTTCAACCCCCCTCGGCTTTATGATAAGCTAGTTCCACCCAATAGAGCCAGATGGCTTGCTATCTACGGAATACCATAAAGTGACCCGAAATTTCGGATTTGCCGAAATGTTGGTTCATTATCACTTTGACATCCCCGCATCCGCGTTCTCGCAAGCGGATATAAAAAAGCATTCGGGTTGCTTTCACCTGAGTTGTGACAGATATACCTGGCCTTATGAAGGGTCCATTTCCTCCCGTAAACAAAACAAAAGCACCTAAAGCCAATGCTTATGTATTGAGTGTCGAGAATGGGTCTCAAGGGCATTTTCAGGAGGAGTATGCTGGCGGAGTATAGCAGAAAGATCAAATCTGCACCGCGCCAGCTTATCCTCAGTCGCAGTCTGCTTTTCTCGTGCATGATGTACGCGACAGCCGCCATCCCTTTGAGTAAGTCAATTTCAGCTTCGACTGCGTATTATAATCTCATTGACGATGGCCCACAGCATGGGATCAGGGATCGGCGTCGACGTTACCTGCTCTATTATGCTTCCAGGAACAGTTCGGTATCAGCTCTGAATCTGGTGCCAGCTCGACCAGAAATTTCGTCTCTCTCGTGTACATTGGCGACGCAGTCGGGGCCGCCCTATCATTCTTCATAAATGATCGTATCGGACGTCTTTGGTCCTTCCGTCTCTATACCACCGTTTGGATCATTGGGCAACTCGTTGCTACTTTTAGTCCTGGATCACCGGCACTGTACGCGTCTCGAATCATCTCTGGCTTAGGAATTGGCGCCTTGAGTGTCACAGGCCCCATTTCCATAGTCGAATTAGCCCCGGCCGAGATACGTGGGCTACTTGCAGCATGGTACTCTGTTTGCATGGGCATAGCCCTGATGGTCGCTACCTTTTGCGTGTATGGTGTAGAACTGCACATTGCAACAAGTCGATTACAATATCAGGTTGTATGGTTCGCTCCTTGTGTGTTCATGTTTCTATGGATTGTCGCAAGTTTCTTCCTCTGTGAATCACCTCGGTGGCTATTTCTATCTCACCAAGATCAGGGGGCTGTTAAAACTCTTATCAGGCTTCGATGTTTGCCATTCGACCATCCTCGGGTACAACAAGAACTCCGAAGTATAAAAGAGTCCCTCCAGTCAGAAACCGAGGCTTGTGAAGTTGATGACCATTCTCCATCTAAAATCATCAGCATTGCAAGAGAGACATTTACAGTGCTATCAAACTTACGCCGTTTACAGCAAGCCCTCATCTTGTACGCACTTCCACAACTGTCAGGTGGAAACTCTGTTACGAATTACTTCATTCCCATCCTGGAGATCGTTGGCCTGGCCGGAAACTCCACTCGAAACCTATTTCTCAATGGCATGTACACGCTCTCAAAATTTTTCTTCAGTTTATTCGCGTCTTTTTTCTTCATCGATGCTTTGGGACGCCGGAACTCGCTTTTCGTTGGCGTAGCTCTTCAAATGATTTCCGACATATATCTTGCGGTATACATCAAGGTCCAACAGGATGGTCCCGTCTCTTATGGTGCAAGTGAGGCAGCTCTTGCATCAATATTCATCCACTCCTTTGGATATACCATTGGTGAGTCCCCAGGAGAACCGGAGTCTATGGATAATATCACGATTAACATCTGTGCACAGGTCTTCTCACTCTCCCATACGTCTTTGGTGGGGAGTTGTGGCCCAACCGAATCCGATCATTTGGCGCCGCACTGTCACAGACTTTTCACTGGCTATTTCATTATGCCATGACATTTGCCTTGCCGTCACTTTTATCGCGAACCAATAACTGGGGCGCATTTATTTTCTTCGCAGCTTGGTGCTCGGTTGCTCTTCTATACGTATACCTCCTGGTACCAGAGATCGCAGGGCTCTCCGTGGAAGAGATTGACCGCATTTTTAATGGGCCATGGCAAGTCTTCGGCAGGCGATCCACGCTCCGACAAAGTCACTTAGTTCTGGAGGGCCAGGATTTGAGTCAGAAGTCGTAAGGTATCTTCCATAATTTTCCATGTAAACTGTGACTAACTTGGAATGCTAGGGACGAGAGCAAAGAAGAACCATTTCCAACGACGATGTCCGCTCAGAAAGAGTCAATTGAGGGACAAAAGCACGTTGTGTCTCATTAGTTGCTACATGGAGCGCAACCACCTCTCGCATTTTGTGTCGATTGATAGCTATCAAGAATTTTGACTATTTCTAACCTTTGCGCTATTTGATATAATCTTTCGTATTACCTGAACCCTGTTAAGCCATTCTTAATTTATTGTCAACTACAATTGCACAGTACGATGTTTTAGGCGCTATTCGAAGTGAATAGAGAAGAACTCTGATTGAGAAAACTATTGAGCAATTGACAAAGAGGGCTACATATAGTCATTCTGGAGCCCATCATTACGGAAATATGAGGTGATAGATAAGGAATGAAAATGAGACGTGTATAAATAATGTGTGCGTTGGCCATGCTAATCACCTCATGCATCTGTTCGGATTGGGTAAGGTTCTATCATCCAAATCGTTCATACACGGAAGTCAACAGTTATTAATTTGGATTCCACTAGTTTTATGTTCTGATCCTAATACCAAATGAGAATGCAATGGGAGAAGTGGTAGCTTCTATGTTAGAGTAGCATACTGTTTTGCGAGGGAGCTATAATGGTAATTTCGGTGTTAAGAGATGTCAATGCCGAACCTTATTGTACATGACATATGTTAGAGATAGAATACGGCATTTCCTTTCTAGGTTCAGCGCTCGTTGAGCCTCCTGTCTTTATATCCAGCACCTAACTAGTTAGTTATCGGCATATCACGCTAAGTCATCCAGAAATCTCGGATTTCCAGATATCCGCTCCTTTTTCTTCCTTTTCTTCTTAGATATATGATCGCCTTATATAGAGATATAGCTGCATATGGCTCAATATATCTCGCTTCGTTTTGCCTCCTAGTCGAGCCCGATTAGGTGTATCACTCCACCGTTCTCTCATTACCCCACGTTTGAGCATTGATATTGCGGGGTAACGGCAATTCCGTTCAGCCACCAAGTTATTAGATTAGCCATCTATTTCCCACGTATCATTCACGCCCATCTTATATGATCAGAAGGATGTCTCAAGATGGACAGTAATTCGTGAAACTTGATTCCAAAAACCTATCGGCATAAGGGAGACTTGGTATTTGGCAAGGGTGGAGGAAACCACAGAGAGGATACCTCTAATTATATTTAAACAATTCTTGCAGTATTTAAAATATAGTGAGATGCAGGGCAACTGATTATATAATAGAAAATTTCTCTAAGTTATCCCAGGTTCTGGTTTTGTCTCCTATCTCTTTTATCTCTCCTATCTCTCCTCGGGCCAAATCGCCAACAATCGATCTTTCAATGAATCCTTATTTCAACCTCTTGTCGCTCTATTCCTGAACAACGTTTTCCTCACGGCTCTCTTTAGACGAATGATCGTATCTTTGTGATTCTTGACAGGTTGACAGCTTCTCCGATCACCTGACTTGAACGCGACGTCCTCGAGGTCTTTATTTCAACAGAATCCCATGTCGTACAATACCTCGAGACAAAATGAAGGGATCAACTTCTATTGAGCGGCCAATTTCAGCCCGGAAAGCGAGTCTGTCAAATCAAACCCAAGCTCGGCACATCAATGCTGGTATCCACCGGCGGAGCACTAATGCTTGTGGGTATCCACTACTTACCCAGACCCGGAGGACTTCAATTAACTTGCTGGTCCAAGGTCAACGTTGCAAACGGAGAAAGATCAAATGCCATTACAACAGCGAGAATAGCCACAGGTAAGCAGAGCTATATCTCTTTCAGGAGTGGGAGTGTTCCACTAAGATATGGATAGTAAATGCGTCGCTTGTTCCAGGGCTTCTTCCGGTAAAACACTGAATCCTTTTCTAGCGGAGGTATAGCTGACGTGTGCTGCAGAATGTTTGTTTGATGCTCCTCCGGATGGTGTTCTAAGGGGCCATGCGTAACTTCCCCCATGCATTTATCTAGGTCACTGTTAATTGTATTGCACAGATATGTTGCGACCCTAGAAGCACGAGTACAAACCTTAGAAACGCAGTTACGAGCAAGGACTTCTCAACAGTATATGAAAAGAACTCAATCAAGTCTTACTCCTGATACGACTTGTTCTGAACAACTGGTTCATGAAAGGGAAACACCTGCTCTAACCCACCTGGATCAACCAAGTGGGGCGGTCATGGACGGATCCTGTCAAGGTGAACAGCTCTCTGGACAAGGCAATTTGCCCCAGAACAATGTGACTTTTCCATTCCATCATACAGAGAATTTTCATCCATGAAAAGCTCCACTGACAGCCAGCCAGGATTCTAGAGAAACCGCATCCAGCCAGTGTTCAAGAGAGCGGGTGCAATTACAAGGGACACTATTTGGGCTCCCAAATGAGCCACAAACATCAATTTCTAACGTCACTATCCTTGACATGGTACATGGCCGCGCATTTGATCCGGGTTTGGAAGGAGAGGCCCTTCCTGCCCTCCCATCCAGCAACAGAGCTAGGACGTTACTGGGTACGGTTTATTTATATACCCAAGCACGTTACTGCATCATCGACTGGACCCAGCTGCGTGAATGGCACCGAGATCGGGGTGTAATCGCCTACATTTCCACTGAAGGCCCAGTCAGCTCACAAATAGGTAAATAAGAGCTTTTAACTTGTATCTACCCAACACAACTCACATTCTAGCAGGAGCCTTTTTTATCTGGATAGTCTATGCTATTGGGGCCCGCTTGGTCCCAGACCCAGAGAATTCAACAGAGGTAAGTACCTGGTGGTGTAAGAGGGAGAAGCTGTCTCTGAATGTCATAGGCATATTTTGCTCGCGCCCGCCTTTACCTCCCGGCTGTCATGGCTTTACAGGACATGGTAACAGTGCAAGCTCTCCTCTCTCTAGTACAGTACTACTTCCGAGCCCCAACAGAAACTCCAATCTGGTTCGTCACATCATATGTTATTTGATATTTCAACCTGCTCATGAGTGGGCTAGGCATCTAGTTGGGCTTGCTCTGCGGTTGTGTATCAAACTCAGATATCACCGCAAGGTTACGAGCTCTCCAGTGGCGCCAAATTTAGATCCGTACACTATCGAACTTCGAAAACGATTTTTTTGGTGTGCATATTGTTTTGATCGGTTCGGACTACAAACCCTACTCCCCCTTGCATGATGGGCATTTTTAACGTGAAATCCATAGATCTTTCTCTATCTTGTCCAAACTTCCGTTTGGAATTAGTGACTCAGACATCGATGTTGAGGTGCGTGGTCAGCCTTTCAAATCGTATGATTACTGCTAACAATATTTGAGACGCCCATTGACATCGACGACGCCTGTAAGGATCAACAGAAGATTCGAGAGCTTCAATTGAGGCAGGCAGCTGGAGGCCCTAGTCATGAAGATGGAATAATCACGACGGTAATTCTCTTGACACAATTCAAGGATCTCATTAATCTTTGAACCAGATGACCGCTGCTTTACACCATTTACAGGTATACCGTATCAGGTCGAAGATACTGTGAGACCCACCCAAGCATTGTTGTGTATAGAGTTGACAAAGATTCAGAACGAATTTCACGGGGCCGCACGCCCAAACTCCCTCATTGAGCGATGTTGAAAGACTTCTCTCTGAGCTAGATCAATGGAAACAGCAAGCACCACGGAAACAAGATTCGAGATGCTTCCCTCAACAAAACCCTGACCGGGTACAAGCAACATACTTACAGGCTGTTCTGCTCTTGATTCGCCCTATCTTGATGGGAAATGTAATTGATTCCGATTTAATACGCTTGTGTGTTGAGTTCGCGGCCGACGCATGCCAAGTAAGTGACTGGTCTTTTCTGGGAAACATTTTGCTAATTCTTTCCCAGAGTGCAAAGGTACTGAGCCTAAACCCTCAGATACCCCCAGACCGTATCACAGTGTACCATTGCTTTTATTGTGGTATTACTCTATTACAGTGTCTAGCAATAAAGCCGACGGCTTTGACACCTAGGTGCGCTCACCAGGCTATCAGTGCCTGTTTAAGTGCATTGGCCGTATACACACGGGTACTGCCTGCTGTTGCACCGTTCCTGCGGCTGTTTGAGGATCTTTCCAATCTTTTGGTCTGCGATGACCACGGATCCGAAATTCACCCTAGCCCGGAAGTACGCAATGTTTTAAATAGGATCGTTTCCAGTGATCCATCAGAGACACCAGGGTATGTGGAAGATATACCATTATTAATACGGGGTTTTAAATGTTGCTTCACAGGATTTTACATTTATTGTCCAGCCAAGAGACCCAACAAGCCACGTTCGGCTCGACACCACGGACCCTGGAAATGGAATCAATGGTATGGATATCCCTAAATCTCGCCTTCGGTGACATATCATCAATAATCCCTCTTCTTAGGCAAACCAATACGATTCTATTTTGGGTGGCCAGTCTTCTGTAGTACTTGATACCGAGTTTCCATTTGAGATGCCTTTGGATCTCTCTCCCCTTTATGCACCCGACGCAGAAATAACAGACCTATGGACTGAGCCATGGCTGAATCCATCATCTGCAGACTTTTCTTAACTGTCTACTCCAAATCCAATGTAATTATTTGTGAGTATTTTCACAGGAAATACAGAGTGTTTGAAGCCCAAAAACGGTCACAATATGTACAAGGCAGGTTGGAAAGAGCAAAAATGACAATGCTGAATTGGGGCGGGCTCGGATCATGGATAGGAGGACTATCCGGATATTGTTTATTTTATTTTATTTTGCAAACAAGCAACAAGCAGTGAAATATTATTATCTGCATGGGCGGCCAACTCCCAATTCCAATCAATTCCTAGCCACAAAATTGGTGGACGTAACATGCCAAATGAGACAGCGGACATTTTGAATCGTATAGTAAAGCCAGCTCAAACTTAAAAGCCTCGCGTCAGAGTTCTATACGGATTCGGATCCAATCAGCATAAACACTGATAACGCACCAAGCTTCGACAAAATGTCATTCCTCGCTGCAAAGTCCCGACCATAAAGTGCTGACCTCAACCGGATACTGCTTTCATGTAACAGTACTGGGACACCAGCAAGTGCGGCCAGTCGAACTCTTGGCACCAGAACGTTGCCCTGCTCCCTGCTGCTTGAATGTTTGCTTAGACGAGCAGAAGTCTCACGATTCTTTGGTCTTCCTCCATTTGTCTCCCATCACTCGACGATCAGCTCTCCTTGGAATCGAAGCCTTCCTACTACTACACTGCGATTGCCCAATCACTGAACTCATCCCTCTTATTGAGGCCGTCATTCCCCATTAATCCCAGTCATGTCCAACATCAATGCATCCTTCGACGAACAACTACCGCATGTCGATATTCTAAACCCCCCGGCTGAATTTTATCGTTCAGTGAGCGTTAGCTCCGGAACAACCTACACACAGAGACCTCCTGCCCTTTTTCTCCGCGAGTCAGCCAATGGCCTGGCACTTCTATCCCAGCAAAGGATCAGAACGGCAACCAACATCCCTGATAAGGACATACCAGAGCTGGAAGACACCCATCTGATCGTCACCAATGCCGGCATAACCAGAATAACCACACTCCAGCTACTCAACCTCGTGAACCTCGCCTTGTCGAAGCTTTTCCCGCCAGGCATGAAGGAAATTTATTGTAACAGCAATGTTACTGTTGGGAAGAAGAGTAGGTTCGATATTCTCTGGTCATTTACTCGTGGGGCCCCCGAGCGTGGGTGTCGCGGTTCTGGAACTAAAAAATACCTACGCTATTAACAAAGACGATATAGGATAAATCGCGGCATTGGATTGAGGCGGGCAAAAAGGGCCAAACCTGAGATTTGACAGAGCCAGAGGTTGAAGATGTAAACGAGTTGAGCACCAAACAAGCCATTTATACGTGTGGACCAGAGTTTCCGGATTGCTCATCAATGCTGCAAGATGTTGGCCTGAGCCATAATGGACGACCATGATTGAGAGCGCCAACACCACAAAACTGACCGGCTATCGTGGATGTTAACTTTTGTGAGAGACATTGCGCGGGATGGAAGTACTGGTTTCCTGCGCAAGCATGATTATAATACTGTCCCATCCCAATTCGTGAATCAGGTACTCACGGGCATATAATCAGGACATACGCCATATCTTACTTGATTGCCCCCGGCACTCCCAAGTCAGGTCTAGGGTGCTTCGCCGGGGCTGTTTATATTTAAACCGTAGCTTTCCCCGGCTACTCTATAGGGACCTGCCGCTAATCGGCCTTTCGGCTGACAGACGCGAGAATGAATGAATAAATAAATAAATAAAACGGGCATGTAATCGAATAAGACCGATGAGGAACGAGAGCGCCGTCACCACGGCCATACCAATGATTGCTGGCTGGCGACGGTCCTCCGCCAAAAAAAGCCGCCGTATTATTATTATTATTATTATTATTATTCATACACGCATCTGTCAGCCCTATAGGCCAAGTGACGGCAGGTCCTGCGGGGCAGCCGGGTAAGCCGCTGTAATGGTAGTCGCTATGTACATCGTTGCCTTTATACACATATCCTGATATCTCATTCTGCGTGTTGTATATCCTGTGCTGCTGGTTTTCATGCCGCTGTTCCCATGGCCATGAGGATCCATGGGCTTGTTGGATACTATCTTGTTTCCTTCCCTACTTCTGCAAGCGCGTAACCTTGGCTGCGCTATGCTGCCGGTTGCCCCAAGTCTGTTGTTGTGACTCAGTATGTGGTTGGTAGAGTTTGAAACTGGCCTAGGAGGCCTGTCTCAAGCATGAAGTGCACTGCTTTTGGTACCAGGTCTGGCTGTGTTAGGTAGGCCTGGTAATCCAGCTCCTGCCTTGATCCCTGTGTAAGATGGTGCATCCAGGGTCCTGCCTGGTTGGTACAGTGGAGGAGAACATGGCATATGTCTTGGAGGCCACATCCACAGGAGCATTCAGTTGATTCCATAGCCTTGAAGGTACCAAGGTAACTGGCCAGTGCAATCTTCCCAGTTTGCATTTGAATGAGGACTGATGTAGCAGCTCTCTGAAGGCCTTGATATAGCTGCATTGGCGCTTTTGAGGGTTCTTTCCATAAACAATGGACGGAGTTCCCATGGGGGGAAGCAGCCCACTCAGTCTTCCATGCATTTGCTGCTTCTATGCAGAGGATTCTTTGAGTGCTAGCCATGAGAGTGAGCTCTTCCATGCCATTGGGTGCTGGGGAATTAGCAGCTTCTTTTGCAAGACTCACAAGACTCAAGAGCATCAGCACACTCATTGCCATAGATGCCTTCATGACCTGGGAGCCAATGTGACGGCTCAACGACCAGACAAACATTGCCAACATGCCAAAAGATGCCATACAAGCAATA